AAATGTCAATTCCATAGCGTATATGTCATATATAATCCACTGGATTAACATGACATATACGCAATGTATACGATTGACATATTTTAAATAAATTAAACAAAATATATTTTCTAAAGCTGAGAATTGCTCTCAAGTTTTAACAATGGTTGTTATAACGTATATTTAAAAGTTTTAAAGGCAGGGAACTTCAAAATATTTATAAATATAAATTATTTAGAAATTTCTGCCACTGAACACATTATATGCGTACATTTCGAAGGAAGATGTTTTCATTTTAATTTTGAAAGATGAATACTGTCCAAGGAAAATTTATGAAAAAATTGGAAACATATGACTGCATGAGACCAACTTGTATAATTATGCCATGTCGACATACATACGATTTTATGGAATTTATTTTTCATATCATTTAAAATTGAAATGAGACTACCTTCTACTACTAATTATGCCGAACCGAACTTTGGATACACTCCACCATAGGTATACTGACAGACACTTGAAATGAATATATGGGGAACTTACCAAAAAGTGAACCAATACCGATAAACCAAACCAGTTTATGTAAACCATTATGTACCCCAAATATAAATTGCAGCAATTTTTAATGAAAACCCCAAATCGTGGACTGATACTAATAACGCATGGTAGAATATACAATCCTCAAACTACTGCAATTTAGAATACAAAGTTAGATTACATAGTGTAGGAATTAGCGAATATTTGGGATTATAATTATATAAGGGCTATGCTTAATTAATGACCGACATATGTAAATTTCGAACCCAATATTTTTGTTTTGTGGTATAATTATATGGGAGGATGCCTAAATGCTGGCCGATATATTTCATTATCATCAGGTTCGAATTTTTTATCAAGATTTCCTTAGAAAGCGAAATGATTACAACCGATGGCTAAATTGTCTTAGAATTCCATATTTTTTAACGGAAGTAATCAGCTAACTATTTTAATATAAGAAGGGAGTTATATGGGAACTACCCCTAAAAGGGGGCAAATATTAATAATTTTTGGTAGGAAGATTTGTTACCATATGCGACTACAAAATACCAAATTACAGCGAATTAGCTCAAGCACCACAGAATGCCGAGAGGAGGGTGTCTTAGAGTCTAAACGCAACCAGAGAGTCACGAGTCAGCGTCATACTTCTTCGCCGGCGTGAAAACCAAACGAAAGAGTTAGCGTTAGCGGCACAAAATGTCAATTATTTGTTTTCATTTTTTGACAGAAAATTTTACGTTGTGCAAACCAAAATCAATCTATTATTTAATAAACAATAATATCAAGGAACTTGGATAAAATGGAAGAAAAAATTATTTTTCTTCCATTTTATTATTAATTCGTTAAAAAAAACATCCACAATCTTTGAAAATATTTGTTTTTTTAACAGCACTGCCATATGTTTTGATATAAATTCTCATTGAAATTTGGTAGCACTGTTGATTTTTACCTAAAATATGGCAACTCAATTGAGAGCAAGAGAGAAATTTTGAGTATGACGCTGAGCAAAAATGAATAAGAGTCTAAACGCAACCAGAGAGTCACGAGTCAGCGTCATACTTTTTCGCCGGCGTGAAAACCAAACGAAAGAGTTAGCGTTAGCGGCACAAAATGCCAATTATTTGTTTTCATTTTCTGACAGAAAATTTTACGTTGTGCAAACCAAAATCAATTTATTATTTAATAAACAACAATTTCAAGGAATTTGGATAAAATTATTGAAAAAAATATTTTTCTTCCATTTTATTAATAATTCATTAAAAAAACATCCACAATCTTTGAAAATATTTGTTTTTTTAACAGTACTGCCATATGTTTTGATATAAATTATCATTAAAATTTGGTAGCACTGTTGATTTTTACCTAAAATATGGCAACTCAATTGAGAGCAAGTGAGAAATTTTGAGTATGACGCTGAGCAAAAATGAATAAAATCTATTCTAGCGTCATGCCGCTAGACGCGAACGTCAGCCGTCGCGATTTCCCGTTGCCTATAAGAAACACACGGCAAACGACTGTCGCTGACTCTAGACTCTATGGTTGCGTTTAGACTCTAAAATCTATTCTAGCGTCATGCCGCTAGACGCGAACGTTAGCCGTCACGATTTTCCGTTGTCAATAAGAAACACAAGGCAAACGACTGTCGCTGACTCTAGACTCTATGGTTGTGTTTAGACTCTAAAATCTATTCTAGCGTCATGCCGCTAGACGCGAACGTCAGCCGTCGCGATTTCCCGTTGCCTATAAGAAACACACGGCAAACGACTGTCGCTGACTCTAGACTCTATGGTTGCGTTTAGGTGGTGGTGTTACTGTTATATGTGGGCTACCGATATTTATAATTTGTAGTGGAGATATTTGGTACCCAATGTACCAATTTCAGCGAAATCGGTTGAAAAATACTGAAAATTGGGGGCTACCCGAAAAATGGACCGATATTTATAATTTTTAGTGGAGATATTTGGTGCCCAAAAATAACTCAATGTACCAAATTTCAGCGAAATCGGTTGAAAAGCGCGCAAGAACCACAAAATATCAAAAAATTGGGCGATACCCTTATATCGGGGCTATACCTAAACGTGGACCGACTTAGCTCATTTTCGAACTTGGCCTGCCTGCAGACAAAAAACGACTCTGTGCAAAATTTTGGCAATCTATCTCAATTCCTTCAGAAGATTACAATTGATTACAATAGACGGATGGACATGGCTAGATCGTCTTTGAGTTTTGCCCTGAGCAATACTATATATACTTTATAGGGTCAAAATTAATATACCCTCCATGCAATGGTGGAGGGTATACAAATAATATAAACCTTTTCCGGCTTGAGGTCATTGAAAATTAAAAAGATTTTTGGTTTCTTTTTTAATTTATTTTTATTTTTCCAATATTTCGATCATCGTCGATGATCATCATCAGGGATTGACTTTAAAAAACAAAAAACATAATTACATAAATTTATTAACAAAATTACAAAATTGGTTTTTAGTTACATTTTATTTTTCTTATTAACACAGATTAACTTCCACTCTCATTGAATTGACTAGATCAACTAACTCTTTTTTTTTTTTTTTTTTTTGTTGGTGCTTTTTTCAATGATGCTCCTGTAAATTTGTGCAAAATGTTCTGTATCTGTCTTAAAATTGATACGGTTTTTGGCAGGTACATTTATTATGTGTAACATTTCTAACATAAATCTTCTTTTATAGTTTGCCTCGCGTGTTAAAATGTTAACATCTTTAAAGTTAGGTGTGTGTCCAGTTTGAGAACAGTGTACTGCTAAGGCTGTTTTCTGTTCTAGAGGTTTGTTTTTATTTTTATGATCAGACTTGTGGCCGCTTATTCTTGTTTTTAGTTTTGTCTTTGTAGTGCCAACATATACCTTTTGGCATATGTTGGACTTGTCACCATTGCACTTGATTTCATAAACTAAATTAGATTGTTCGTCTGGAGGGGTTTTTGATTTTGTCCGACTAAAGAAGTTGTTATTTGTATTGCTACTTTTTAAAGCAAGTCTGTAATGTTCTTTGTCATATAGGTTTGAATTGGCGAAGCGTTCGGATAGACCAGGTACATATGTGCACTTTTTGTATATTGTGTCAGGTTTTTGTTCGTCCTTAGCAGTTTTAGTCGTTTTTACATGTTTTATTAAATCTTCAATTGTTTGGCTCGGGAAGTCATTCATTTTTAATATTTTTTCTAATTTTTATTTTATTTTTGTGGTGAAATTGCTTGTCACTGATATTGAGCACTCTCCTTATAAAATTTGTGGCAGTGTTAATTTTAATATTCCGAGAGTGTTTGGAATGGAAATGTATGATTCTTCCGGATGCAGTCGACTTTTGGTACCAATCTAGTTTTAGTTTGCGTCCTTCTCTATGTATCATTGAGTCAAGATATGGGAGCTTATTTTCGGATTCAAAAAAAAAAAAAAAATAAAGTCCAAAGGTCAACAATCATTTCTCAACAATAATATAAACCCTTTTGTTTTTCGAAGAAAACAGTAAACAATTAGTCGATTCTGGCAGTTCTGGGACAAGCCAATTATTATTGTTTTTTAGCTTCTGCATTTTGCAAATGTTTAATAATTATCCATGTGTAAAGTCATTTTTGGCATACTGTATATCATGAAAAATATTTTATATGTGTTTTTATTTACTTTTACAGCCTGTTTTTGTAAAATTCTAAACGAACGAATTCGAGTGACTTACGACCAAACTCCTTTGTTTTGAAAAATATGTCATTTATTTTTGTTTTGAATCAAGAAACATTTTTTTACATAAATAAAGGTTTGATAGTAATTCGTTCGAATTGTTTCGTTTTGAATTTTACAAAAACAGACTGTTAAATTTGAAACCCTATATTACTGTATAAAGTTTTCTGCCTTTTACAGAAATACAGGACGTCCGACGCTTTCATTTAGTGACCCCCTTTAGTGTATGTATGCACAATGACACAATATGGCAACATTCTCTCTTCATTCAAACTGTCAAACGTTTGTATTTTTGCGGGCTTGGCTTTTGTTTTGCTTTTATATTCAAAACAAACCACGGAACATGGGTAATTTTATTTAAATTTAATTATTTTTATATTTTATTAAATTAACAAATACTTTATTTGCATATTTTCAGATGACAAATTAAAGGATATATTAAAAATTCGACCATTACAAAATACAGTAATAACATTTCGTACCTCAACATCGGAATATCGTAAATTGGTAAAGAATGCCTGTTTGTCGGAGTTGAAAAATCTTGTCAATGTTGAAATGGAAGTCGAGCAGGTCGATGTTAAAATGCCCGATGAAAAACAAATGCCACCAATACCAAGTGAAATACGTAAACCAAGGGTATGTTGAATGCAAACAGGAATGAAAGAAAAATCAGTGTTTTATTTATTTTTTGTTTGTTTTCAGATTGCTGCCTTGCTCCGGGAATGTAGTGTGGTCGAAGAGGGCATTAATTTATTATGAACCATCCAACGAATTACAATTGCTGCTTACAATGCACTTGATTGAGTTTTTTATAAATCATGCTTAGACAATCACACGTAGGTTTAAATATCTATAATCACATACGAAAGTTAAGAATTAGTTTTGTTAAGAAGAAAATTATAAATAGTTTGATTTTTAATAAATAGTTAAGTTACCTTAAATATTGGTATTATTGGATGTTTGCGAAACAGCTTACCCTTTATTCTTATGATTAGCAAATAACGAAAATCAAACTGAAAAGAAAGGTTTGCAGAAATTATTAATTGTTGTGTGTTCGTGGTGTTTGTTAGAACAAAATCGAGTTGAATGCTTACATTTTCTAATACCTCATTAATGCGTATATCATGTATGTCGGATGAGGATATAAATGTATTACTTTTCCCCAAGAGTCTTTCAATTTGCAAATTGATACCAAAATCATAACAATATATGAATGTTTCTGAAAATGAGAATATATTTTAAATTACAACCTCCGCCATAAGTTGCTGTGTATATTATGGTCTCCATTCTAATCAAAATCTTTGGTAATTTGTTTTTTTTTTCAGAAAATGTTGAATATATTTTAACATAGCCCCCATACTCAGGTATCTCCCAATTTTGGAAGAAATCCCTACTTGTAAAATGGCGGTAAAAAACACAACTGAAAATGTTGAATAAAGGTCCATGCCCGATTTCGGTATTTTAGACAATTTTTCAATGTGGAACTATATTTTTTGTATAGCATTTACATAACAGTGCCGCTCATTTTCTGCTGCAACTTGTCATTAGAGGCTCTTGGAAAGTTGAAAAAAAGATTTACAGAAAATATTCATTATAGGACCATATTTTGGTAAAGCCCTCATATGACAAGTTCAATTCCATTTTTATACCCTTCACCACACTGTGGTACAGGGTATTATGGCTTTGTGCATATGTTTGTAACAGGCAAAAGGAATCGAGATAGAACCATGGTTCCGTTTCAGAATATTCGTAGAATCACTTTCTGAGTCGATTTATGTATGTCCGTCCGTCCATGTATTTTTGTGAACAAAGTACAAGCCGCCAAATTTCATCGAAATCGGATGAAATTTGGCCCAAGGGCGAACCCTTTTGAAATTGAAAAAAAACGGTTCATATTTAGCTATAACTCCCATATACAGTTTCGTCCGATTTTATGTAAATGATGCACCAAACTCCCAATATTAGTCCGATTGAGAAAAAATTAAGCACATAATATTGAATTAGGTCTAGATTGATATATGCCAAGTTTTGATGAAATCGGTTCAGATTTAGATATAGCTCCCATATATAATTTCATCCGATTTTATGTAAATGGAGCTCCACAGAGTCAAATTTAGGGCGATTGGCACACAATTTTGCACAGCCTACTGAATTAGGTCCAAATTTATGTATGCGAAGTTTTGTTGGAATCGGTTCAGATTTAGATATAGGTCCCATATATAGTTTTGTCCGATTTTAGGTAAATGGTGCCCAAAAATGAAAATATTTGCCCAATTGGGACACAATTTTCAACAGCGTATGGAATTTAGTCAAGTTTGACATCTGTGAAGTTTTGTTGAAATCGGTGCATATTTAGATATAGCTTCTATATATAGTTTCGTCCGATTTTATGTAAAGGGTGCACCAAATCAATTCTGTATTTTTGGGGATTTTGATTGTGTTTTTCCTCCGAATTGGCTATAATTTAGTACTTTGAGTTTTTATTGGGTAGCAAATCTCTCCACTCGAAATAGTCAGTTTTTACCCTTCAAAGTATTGAATTCTAAGAGGATTTAGCCATCTGGTGTAATCATTCTGCCTTCTAAAGATATCCTGATAAAAAAAAACTCGAACCTGACGAGTCGGCCAGCATTTAGGCATCTCCTCCATGTAATGATACCTCCTGAAGGAATGAATTGAGATACAAAACTAAAATATTGGGTTCCAAATTGACATATATCGGTCATTAATTAGGCCTCATATAATTATAACCCAAAATATTCGCTAATTTCTACACTATGTAACCAATATTGGTATCCCTTTAGGCATAGCCTCATATAACTTTCCACTCTAAATGTCAGTACTTTGAGGATTTTATATTCTACCATGTTTTATCAGTATCAGTTCACGTGTTAAGGTTTTCAGATTTAAGGAAAAATCCCCATTAAAAATTGCTGAATTTTGTAATTGGTGTACATTATGGTTTACATAAATCAGTTTGTAGAATTATTGGTATAGGTCCACTTTTTGGTATGTTCCCTATATTTTCATTGCAAGTGCCTGTCAGTATACCTATGGTGGAGCATATAAAAATTTCGCCCGGGCCGAACATAACGATATTCTTTCCCCATTTTTTTGTTTCCAAATTTACAGTCATTAACATACCCGATTTCACCAGACTCAACCAACGCCAGAGGATGGGCAGAAACCAAATCACCGAAATTATTGCAAAATAAAGTAGACGAAAGGCAGCATTCAAATGTAGCCAGAGATAAAAACCACAAATTCCGGCAAATAGCAGAGTTTCCTTAATGGCCACCTTCCGTTGCTTGGGGAAATCCTTATTTATCAACATTATTTGTAACGCATCATGACCCAATTCATGTATTTCCAAACGTAAATCGGCCTCCTCAATGCCTTTATATAGATGCGATGTTGAATGGAATTCATAAATTAAGGGCGGCATCACAGCCATTTCCGATCCTTAATTTTATAATTTTTTCCAATGTTTTCTTTTCTCCTTTTTTATTTTGTTTAATACTTCCCCGCCTCCCAAAGACAAACAGCTGTTTTGTTT